TTGAGCACCACATGCCTCATGTGGCGCCGCGCGTTGACTGTTTTCCGCCACATCCAAGAGTGGCGCCTGAGCTCCTAGAGCCTGCACTGGAACATGTTTGGGTCTGTGGGTATAACCCCTCAAATGAATGAAGCTATATATATATAACCACCTGTTAAGTGCAAGGGTTTGTTCTTTAAGGGTTGGTATATATGTTTGGATCCCAGACCCTACTCACCAGAGGCACCTATAAGTATAGTGGGCCAGGAGATGCCCTGAATCCATACCGGTCACAGCGACCAATCCTGTAGCCAGGAAAAATATGCCAGCTGAGTGGCTTTGGATTTGGCAATGTTTCCTTTGTTAAACAAACAGATAGGAGTTCAACGGTTGTGGCTTTGGAAGCAAACTCGAGTTGTGAGTTTTGGAGCAGTTGCGCGCGCAACACCAACACACACACACACGCACACCCACCAAAATTTTCAAATTTGATTTTTTTTTCAAAAGTCTACCTTTTAATTTAATATTAAAAGGAACATTTTTGAATTTTTTTTCAAATTTGAAAATTTTTGCTGCGCAGGCTTTCTGCTCAATGTCTGTTTCCCAGACTTTGGAGTAGATGTTTGTTCATTGGACTGGTGGGGCTAGACCTTGGCGTCCTTTGCTCTTGGTGAGTCAGGACCTGAGGACATAACATATTGCACATCTTGTCCTTCCGGTTTGTTTCTCCTTCCTGTCCCCTTTCTTGTTCTTGTCTTGCTGGGTCGATGTGTTTGTCTGTCTTTTGCCGGTTTTTGGGAGCACCGTACAGGATGGCAAGTGCGATGCGCTCTCTTTTTTTTGTGAGAGAGAGAGATGAGCTGCAGCTCTTGCTTGGCGCTGCTCTTAGCTTGTCCACCCCTGAGTAGCTCCCTGTCTGTGAGGCCACTTGTCTTGAGTACCACTTGTCCTTGCCATGGCTGGTGCGAGCAAGGCTGCTGCGCCCAAGAAGCCTGCTGCTGGTAAGGCTGCTGCGCCCAAAAAGCCTGCTGCTGGCAAAGCTGCTGCTAAAGCCAAGGCCAAGGCAGAGCCTGCTGCTGGAGCTAAATTGAAAAGGGGCAAGTCGACTGAGGCCTTGGAGGTAGAAAGTGCTGCAGAGAAGATGCAGCTTCAGCAGCGTGTCTTGAACCTCATGAAGTACAGGGCCAACCACTCCAAGGATGCAGAGAAGAAGTCACAGGCTCAGCAGTTTTTGGACATGTACTGGAGCAAGACAGCGACTGAAAAGGAGGGCCTGCTCAAAGAGTTCGAAGCTGCTGGCGGCAAGAACAATACCCAGTGGCTCATGAGTGTGGAGAACCAACACACGGATGCTACGGAGTCCCGTGACAAGCTGCGCGAAGGTTTTTTTACAAGGACTCTTTTGAAACTAAACTCCCACAGCGGTCCCCACCCCCAAGACAGAAAAGAACATTTTTTGTTTGCTGCCCTGCCAGGAACCAGATTTTGGAGATGAACGCCTTCCAGCCGGACTCGATGACCTTTGAGCGCAAGGATTCTCTGGTGCAGCACCTAATTGCTGAGTCGGTCGAGAAGTTTGCGTTCAAAGCCGAGAAGAAAGAGCACCCTGAGGAGAAAGAGTTGGATAAGTTCATGTATGTCTTCTACGGTGGCAACTTTGTGGACCACTTAAAGCGACAGGAGCAGAAGGTCAATGTCTACAACCTTGATGTCCAAAAGGGCAACAAGAGGCTGAAGTTGCTCCAAAATGAGACCGAAGTGAAGTTTGAGTCCGAAGGCCTGTGCAAGAACATGGAGGCGCTGAAGCGCGAGAAGCTGAAGCTCAAGGCCCCCTTTGACAAGCTGGAGAACCTGGAGGTGGCGCTACGTGTCAAGGCCGACACGGATAAAGCGCTGGAGCCGAAGCACCGTGCAGTCTCCAATGCCAAGACAGCCTTGTCTTCCTTGCTCGATGGTTTGCGGGTCCTCATGAAGCGAGCCGAGGCCTTCAAGGGGGACGAAGAGCCGAAGATCCTGCTGGAACTGGAAAGCCATTTGACGACACCGATGCCTGGAGGAAGAAGGCTTTGGGCTCTGCCATGCCTTTGCCCCGTGGGGTGCTGCTGGGAATCAAAGGTGATTGGTCAGCCCTCAAGTCTGTCTTTCGCTTCCCTGGCTGGCGCGACAAAACTGGCTGCTGCTATCGATGTGATATGACGCCAGACCGCATTCGCGAAGTGGCCTCCAACTCCGACTGGCGACAGCCCAGCCACCGCCTCTGCCATGCTGATCTCTTGGTCAGGATGGTGGCTGATGGGAAATCGATTTCTCCAGCCTTCAACATTCCATTTGTCACCACCGAAACCTTCCAAATGGATTGGCTCCACACCACTGACTTGGGCATCTCCTTGGAATTCTTAGGGGGCATCTTGGCTTGGGCCTGCGATTACCTCGAGGGCAACCAAGCGCAAAAGTGCAGCGCTCTACACTTGCGTATGAAGGCCTACTACAAGAGAACCTGCAAGACTTCTTGCTTGCTGGAGCTCAAGCCCACAATGATCTGGAAGCAGCCTGGCGCCTATGCCCGCTTGCGGGCGAAAGCCGGTGAAGCTAGGGACCTCATTGATTTCGCGGTCGAGGTCACAAACGAGCTCTTCGACCACACACAGCCTGCGGCCGCCACTGCAGCAGCAGCCGCCCTGCAGTTGCAGGTCTGCTACCAGCAGCTGAGCAAAGAGGCCTTCACAGAGAACTTCTAGAACAGGCTGCCCTGCGCTTCGCCCTTCTCTATGTCGCGCTGGGTGATTACTCCGCGGCTCATGGCTGGAAGACTTTTCCGGCCAAGCCAAAGCTGCACGCCTTTCTCGAACTTGTCCAGACTAGCACTCCGCCGTCTGCCTTCTGGACATACACTGAGGAGTCATGGGGCGGTAGGATTGCACTCTTGGCCGAGCGCAGAGGTGGGGGAAGCACTGCAAAAGCAGTGGGGCTCTCTGTGTTTGACCGTTTTGCTGCACAGCACGATGTGCCGGAGCTCTGAAGTGGACTCTAACATGGAAAATATTTAAGGGATGTTGACTGGCAAGAGAAACGACATATATATATGTCGTTTCTCTTGCCAGTCAACATCCCTTAAATAAGGGCTTTTGGAACATCCCTTAAATAAGGACTATAGTCTCTAATTTAAAGCTTAAAGCCTTAAATAGAGGAGGTACCTTCTCTATTTTAAGGGGTTTAACCTCTAATTAGAGTCTATAGACCTTATTTAGAGGTTTTTCATTGAAAAAAATAAAGACTATAGTCTTTAAATAAGGGTTCAACCTCTAAATAGAGACTTTTGGAAGATCAGGGAGGACATCAACACATCGATGGCGTCCTGCTCTTCAATCGGGTCTTCATTTTCACCCAACTGGCCCTCACCCATCTCTGCCAGAAGGACATCCTCGATGTCACCTGCATCATTGTCCTCCGGGCATGGATCATGATCAACAGCCGCAACATGCGAGCGTCCGGTGTATAGGCCCTCTGGATAGGTGGTTCGTAAGGCAGCTGCTACATCTGCTTCTTCATACGACTGTCTGGCTGCTGCCATCACCACGGCTTTCTTGTCTTGCGGGAGCTTGGCAAAACGAAGCAGCAAATAGCCCCTTCAGCCTCAGCAGCCGAGAACGCAGCACGTGCCTTCCCTGTATAAGCTGATGTTGCTTCGCCCTTCTCAATCCGCAGCTCAAAAACCTTGTCCAGCACTTCGCCTATCCGGTCATGAATTGCTTCCTCAGGGAATCTGTCATCCAGCACCTGGTAGACGAGGTCTTGTCCGCCAGGTTGTTCCAGGTCATCCATGTTGACGGTATCGAATGACCTGAGGGCTGTCCCATCCAACATTGTGAAAAGCAATGCTCCAAACACTGACTCATCTGTACCTCGAGCACGTTGCACCGCCAGATAAGCCCTCGACCAGCGTTTCCAAAGCTTGTAGTCACGCTGTGGATCTGTCCCATCACCGCTGAAGCGCTTCACAGCCGATTCGCTCTTCTGTTGCTCTGCCATCTGATCACTCTTTTCTCACGCGGGCCCCCTTAGGGGCTCCGCTACCAGTGCAAACTGGCAGCCCAAAACCAACGGTGTCACTCCTGTGACCTCCAACCGACGATGCACCGATCGTTCAAAGCGCAGCTTTTCCGCTCATGGCCTCGTCGATGCGCCCCGGGACCTTCCAGGTCCAAAGCATGCTACTGGCCTAAGCCAAAGGACATCGGCATTCGAGCGTCCAGGTCAACCTGTCGAGAACTGCATATATAGTATGTATACATGTATATATATAATATATATGTATGTATGTATATCTTAAATTGTATATATATATATATATCTAATTCGCCGTTTTGGGCTCTCTCAAACAAGCACTAAACCTGGAAATCCAAAAGCTTGGAAAGTATTCTTGCTGGCTGTGTGAGACACTCATGCTCGCTGCACCCCAAGCGCGATCGCAAACCACCAAGAAACCAGGTGGTATCTGCAAGTGCCTGCTCAACGGTTAGACCTCGTAAGCTTGAGCCTGGCACAGATTCACCGTAGTAGCGGTGCTCAAGGAACACCACGAACGCTCCAAGTGCCTGCGCATGCTCAAAAACTGCGCCGGAGGCATTGTAGAAGGTGCCCACAGAGCCCTCACCGCCAAAGAAAAAGAGGATAGGATTTCCAGTCTTCCACCATTCTTTGTAGGTGAGAACCTTTTGTTGGAACGTCGCATTGTTTGTGAAGTCAAAGTTGTCCACGAAGGAGGCCACGTGAGAGACTTCGGGCGGAAACCTCTCCAATGCGCCCCTACCATCGCCCACCACGGGAACGGATAAAGCCGCGAAAGCAATGCAGCTGAACAGCGTGTGCATGACCTGCGTACGGCGCCGCGTGGAACGCGGAAACGACCTACAAACGCGCGTTGCACGTGCTGAGCCAACACTCAGTCTCCCCAAACAAACACGACGGTCTTGCGGCATGGTGTTCGCCCGATCTCGCAGGGAGCGAAGGGATGCCGCGGCCTCCAAGCGTTGACAACGAGCAAGGAGACCTTCAATCAGGGCATCCTGGCGGGGAGACAGACACATCGCGAGCAAGAAGCGACCCGATGGAAGACCGTGCTTGGCTGCAAGGATCCGCAGAGGGATCCGCAGGGATCCGCAGGGATCCGCAAGGCCCAGTCCAAAAGCAGTGAAAAGCAAGACAAGCACCAAAAAGCAAGAACAGCAGGGGAAACCAAAGAGAAGCAATGTTGAAAGCAAGGAAAAGCGAGGAAGAACAAAACAAGCACACACAGGAAAAGTAGCAAGAAAAGCATATGGAGAAATCATAGAGAAGGAATGAACAGCCAAAAAAGCAACAAAAAGCATATTCAACAAACAAATCCCTGAACGCAACACAAAAAATATCAAACAATCATCAAACAACATAACTCTCTCCCCAACAGAGTGGCATCAGGAACAAAAAACAGTGGCACATCTCCAAACGGAATGACCAGGACCAGCAGCATCCATTTGGACCGCAAGGATGCTTGTTCTAGACCCCCCCCCAACTGTTGATGTTCCTTCAGCACCCAAACTGGCTGGTGCACAGTGTCGTCTTCCTGACCGGACCGTAGACTGATGCTGTGACAGCCGTCCGCCGTTTCAGCCCGTCCTGTGCGGCGATCACGGAGAGTGCCTCAGAGGCGACAGCGAGGGCTTTTCTGAAGACACACTTGTCCAAACAGCGATGAGTGAAGCGGACATGGGATGACCACAACGATTGATGGAGCTGGGGATGACCAACTTGAAACTGGGAAAAACATATTAAAAGCTTTGTTATTGTAAAAGTGCCTTGTGTTTTTATAAAAGTACTT